CTAATTAAAAAAGCAAAAAAAAAAGTTAAATAATTATACAAGTCAAAATTTCAATTTTTTTTTTTACTTTTTACACATTTTTTTGAAAAAAGTCAAATAATCATTTCGAATATATTAATTTTTTTACCTCCAATTCTAGTCAAAAAATCAAAAAGTTACTAAAATAGTCTATTCCAAAAGTTTGGGTGGTATAAAATGGATAACAAGTGTGTTTTTAAAAATATTTTTTTCTTGCTTAGAAATATGATAAATTGGACCTTCTATGATTATTGGATGTAATTAATTTTTTATGTGGATAATATACACACAAAAAAACCTACAAAATAAATAATTTGAGATCATTGAAGAGGGATCTATGACGGATCCCACAAATGTGAAACAACGCCATCCACTCTGAATTAGGCTAAAAGGAACCTAACCATACACACTCCGAGGCATTGTTTAGGATATTTGATTTTGGCTAAAACAGTCAATAAACATAATAATAAAAAAATTAAAATAGTTAATAAAATAACATGTTAGATCCAATACAATAATTAATTAATTATTCTCTCATAACCATCTATTTAACTACAATTTTTTTTTTTATAAATCATCTCAAATACACAATTTTTTCATCGCATAAAATAATTAAAAAGTTTTAAAAAATCACTAAAATAGCTAAATTAGTAAACAAGCAAATCTGAATTAAAAGGAACCTACCAGCCCTAATGGGAAAGTCACTTTGGCCAATTCAAAATTCAAATGAAATGTACAGAAGTAATGAAGGAAAGAGAGGTTGCATTACAACCATATTTGACCTTGACTTGGTTTCTTGTGGTTTCACCATAAATGACCCGTGTGATGTCTCTAGGCAAAAAAATTCAAAATTAAAATCTGTCCTATTTTTTAATAAAAATTTAGGGCATCTAAGTTGCACAAAATAAAAAATATATATTTACTTATTTTTTTTAAAGTTTATCAAAGAAGGACATTAGCCACAAAAAAAAAAGAAAAGAAAAAAAAAGGGGCCTCCCTAAATGTAAGTTATAAAAAAGTTTTTAAAAAAATAAAAACATTACCAAACAATATGACCTACTTTAACCATTACAAAACTCAAAAATTGAAATTTTTGCTATAACTTAAAAATAAAATGACATCACCCAATATAGTATATAGTATTGTAAATAGACCCTTTTTTTTATTATTTTAATACTAAGAGTACGTTTTTAGAACTTTAAGGTTTCAAACTACAAATTTTTTAAAAAATCTACTGTCCAAGCCATTAAACCTTGCATATTTAAAACTTAAAATTTTCATGATAGATATTAGGAAATCGATTACAAACTTACCAATAAAATTCAAAAAGAAATGTCTTATACTATTATTTGATCTTTTTAAACTCTCGAAAAAATAACTCATAAATCTCATATATATTTTTAATATAATAATTTTCAAATTTTATTTAATTGTGATCATTTAAATAATACTTTTAATTTCTAAATAGAATGAACATATTTCAAAATGACTTGGTTTCTTGGTTTCATGAAGAAGATGTATAGTGGCTAAGGATTTAAAGTGGGAAAGATAATAGGTTGTAAAGAAAGAAAGAAAGGGAAATATGAAAAATATATATATATATATTATGAAATAATTATTATTTGGGCAAATTATATATACCTCCCTCGAGGTTTAGCTAAATTACAGATACCTCCCTGAGGTTTCAAAAATTACAGATACCCCATTGAGGTTTATATTTTTATAACAAAATGTCCCTTGAGGTTTATATTTTCATAACAAATTGCCCCTTGAGGTTTATATTTTCATAACAATTTGCCCTCTAATTTGTTATGCAAATAGTACCTTCAGGGGGATATCTGTAATTTCTCAAACCTCAGGGGAGTATCTGTAATTTTGCTAAACCTCGAGGGGGTATATGTAATTTTCCCTTATTATTTTTCAGGAATGATGGTATAATCATAGCAATATTTTTGTTTTTAGAAAATAATGGTAAAATTTTAACATAATTATAATAAATATGATGCGTTAGCCAATAATATTTCCTTTTAATATTTTAAAAATAAAAAAAATTAAAATTTTTATGATGAATTGTTGGAGGTTTATTTTCCTATTATGAAATACTTATTATTTGCAAGAATGATGGCATGATCATAGCAATATTTTTGTTTTATGAAAGAATGGAAATTTTTTTAAAAAATTATAATTAATATGATGTGTTAGCCAATAAGATTTATTTCAATATTTTCAAAATAGCAAAAATTAAAAATTTTATGATGAAGTCTTGGGAACTTTCCTACCATTCATCATTGAACTATCACTTCAATATTCTTTTAATATTTTAAAAATAAAAAAATTAAGGATTTTATGATGAAGAGTTGGTGCTTTATTTTCCTATTATGAAATAATTATTATTTGTAAGAATGATGGCATAATCGTAGCAATATTTTTGTTTTAGGAAAGAATAATAAAATTTAAAAAATATAATTAATATGATGTGTTACCCAATAAGATTTATTTCAATATTTTTAAAATAAAAAAAAATAAAATTTTTATGATGAAATCTTGGGAATTTTCCTACCATCATTATTGAAATATCACTTCAGATATAGATAAATAGATAGATAGATAGATAGATAGATATTTATTAATATTGGGTTGACCTAAAATATTTGTGTTTTCAACCGACCCTATCTTGGATTTGATTAAAAAAATAAAAAAATAAAAATTGATCCATAAATTAATAAATATAGTTAAAAACAATCAATTTATACATTTTTATAATTTGGGGACATTTGTACACTTTCATAATTTCTAATGCAAAGTGATATTTCTCAATAGTTTAGGGAGTTTATTTATATGTTTTTAAGGTTTAGGAGGTTAAAGTGACACTTCTCATGGGTTTTTTGTGTAAATAACCTTCTAATTATATCAATTTTGTTCTTTAAATTATTTATTTATTTATTTATGTCAATTTAGTTTAATTGATATTTCTATTTGCACACCTCTTTTTTATTTTTATATTTTTATCTTCACACTATTTTGTCCATTTAGATATCAACTACCAAATAAAAATTAATTATTCAAATATCAATCACAAAATAAAAGTTAATTATTTAATTATCAACTACTAAACTAGGTTTTCATTCTGTAGTTTGATTTTGAACCACAAATTTTTGTTCAGTAATTGAGATCCAAACAAAAATTGGTGTGAATTGAGAAATTTTGTTGTCTACTGCTATGTGTAGAAAGGTGTGATACAAGGAAGCTGATTGCTGCTGCCGTATTGTTGCATTATTGTTGGATTGTTGTTTTGTGTTTTCCTTCTTAAGGCTTTGTTGATTTAAGTTTTGCATGTATATTGCTCTTTTTTCATCAATAAAGTTTTATTTTTTGCTAAAAAAAGAAGTTTGTTTACTTCAAGTTGGATGTTGTTATTTCCATCAATTTGAGAATAGTGAATAAATTATTTTGTCCCTTGATATTTAATCCAATTTTTAAAAATATTATTAATTAAAAAGATTGACACAATATAAAAATTTTAAGAATAAAATTAACGCAATTAAAATTATAATTACCATATCGATACAAGTACAAATATAAAGTCTAAGACTCATTACAAGGAATGTAATTTGTCCAAATTTCTTTCGTTGCGACTTGTAACTATCTATTATCTTTGGGAGGTAAACAATGACTAGTTAAAAAAAGCACAAAAACAAAAACGAAAACGAAAACAAAATCCTCCAAGGTGGTTTGGCAACTAATTAAAAAAGAAAAAAAAAAGTTAAAAAGTTAAAAAATTATACAAGTCAAAAATTCAATTTTGTTTTTACTTTTTACACTTTTTTTTTTTTGGTAAAAAGTCAAAAAATTATTTCAAATATACTAATTTTTTTACCTCCAATTTTAGTCAAAAAATCAAAAAGTTATTAAAATAGTCTATTCCCAAAGTTTGGGTTGTATAAACTGGATAACAAGTGTGTTTTTAAAAATATTTTTTTCCTTGCTGAGAAATATGATAAATTGGACTTCAATGATTATTGGATGTAATTAATTTTTTATGTGGATAATATATACAAAAAGACCAACAAAATAAATAGTTTGAGATCATTGAAGAGGGATCTATGATGGATCCCACAAATGTGAAACAACACCATCCCGTCTAAATTAGGTTAAAAGGAACCTAACGATACACGCTCTAAGGCATTGTTTGGGATATTTGATTTTGGCTAAAATAGTTAATAAACATAATAATAATAATAAAAAATTAAAATAGTTAATAAGATAACATGTTACATCTAATACAATAATTAATTAATTTTTCTCTCATAACCATTTATTTAACTACAAAAAAAAAACAAAAATCATCCCAAACACAACTTTTTTCATCTCCTAAAATAGCCAAAAAACTAAAATGCCAACTAAAATAGCCAAGGCCTGAATTCTGTGGCTCGAATGGTTCGAATATGTCAAAACGATATCGTTTTATATCAAAAATGATATCGTTTTGATTGTTTCGAGCCATTCGAATCATATTTTTTCGAATTACCAATCATTATTGTTTGGCCAATTCGAAATTCAAATAAAAAGTACATAAGTAAATGTGATGTGATTAATGAAGGAAAGAGAGGTACAACCATATTTGACCTTGACCTAGTTTCTTGTGCTTTCACCATAGTAAATGTGATGTGATTAATGAAGGAAAGAGAGGTACAACCATATTTGACCTTGACCTAGTTTCTTGTGCTTTCACCATAAATGACCCATATGATGTCTCTAGGCAAAAAAACTCAAAATTAAAATTAAAATCTATCCTATTTTTTAATAAAAATTTAGGGTCATCTGAGTTGCACAAAATAAAAAGAAAAATGTTTGAGCGCCATAATTTTTGTGGTCACTCTAAAGAATGAAAGAATGTGGTTAGTTTATATGTAAATGTATGTCCTATTAGATGGGTTTATTGTTATTATTTTGAGGGCGTTACACATTGTGACCACAAAAATTATGGTCCTGTAGCATTGTTGAAATAAAAAATCGGTTCTGCTGGGTAGCTCGAAATGAGCTACCCCGAATGGCTCGAAAATATGTTTTGCGCTTGCTATCACGCGCTTTAAAAAAAAAAAGTATGACAATTAAAACACAAAACACATTAGAGAGGAGAGGAGACGACCGAGCGCGGGAAACAGGAGAGCAGACGACCGACCGACTTGGGTGTTCGCCGACGACTGACTTAGGTAAGCTGCGACAGTGAAACATCTTCTTTGACGACTACCACCTATGTTCGAAATCCCTACTGCCATGCATAGGAGATTAGGTAAGTTCTTCTTCTGATTTTATTTTGCATTTGTGATAGGTGTAAATCTATTGATTTTTGTGATGCATTTGAGATGTCTGCAATGGTCTGGGTTTTTTTTTTTTTTCGTTGGTTGTATGACCAATGTTTTGGTAGTGATGCATTCCAGGTGTTTGATGAAAGTCCACATAGAGAAATTGTAATTTTGTTAATGAAAATAGTAAATTCTGATGCATTCATGTATGAAGTGGGCATTCCAGATTTTTGTATCAATTATGATGCATTCCAGTTTAATGAAAATAGTAAATTCTGATGGTTTGTAATTTTCTTAATGAAAATAGTAAATTCTAAGGAAAATGATTTAGAGTAAATTATGATGCATTCTAAGGAAAATGGAAATAGTAAATTCTGATGCATTCTATGAAGTTAAAATTATGTTTATTGCTTGAATGTGATGGGAATTAGTTTAAATTTGTGAAAATATGGTTTTTTTTTTTCCGATTAGTGATAGTAAATTCTAAGGAAAATGATTTAGAGTAAATTATGATGCATTCTAAGGAAAATGGAAATAGTAAATTCTGATGCATTCTATGAAGTCAAAATTATGTTTATTGCTTGAATGTGATGGGAATTAGTTTAAATTTGTGAAAATATGGTTTTTTTTTTTTCCGATTAGTGAGGCTTTTTTTGTGTACAAAATGTGAGGGGTTTTGGATGTACTTGTCATATAGTCTGGTTTGGGAGGTGAAAGAATACATGGATTGAATTTCTGTTAATACACTCTACCTTTTAACTATCTACATTCACTTACACTTTCTTTTATGTCTGTTTACTGGTTATGTAGACTGAATTTTTGTTTCAAGTTATATGCGTCAATGGACATTGATTCAAATAATCCTTCATTGAATGAGAGTGAGGAAGTTGAAGAACCGGAAACGAATCCTTCATTTGTGTCAATGCTGCATTTTTTTTTTTTGTTGAAGTCAATGTTGCTGCTGCATTTTATTAGAACTACTTTGATGACTTCGGTTTGACTTTTGTTTGCTGCTGCTGCATTTGTGTTGTTGCTGTTGGTGTGTCAATGTTGAACAAAATTCATCTGCTGCTGGTGGAACTCAATGTTGCTGCTGCCGCATTTTGTAGATGAATTTTGTGCAGCAGCAGCAGCTGGTTGAACTCAACTATTTTCAATCCCACAAATTTTAATCTTCTATTTTCAATATTTTCAGGCTTTATTTTGATTTTGAATTTGTTTTTGTTTTTTGTAGCTTTGAGTCAGTTGGAGTTAGGAATTTCATGCTCTACAAGAAGCCCAAGATGGAGAATGATGCTGCCATTGATGATGAAAAGCAGGGGATTGACAGGTAGGGGAATGGAGAAGTTCTGTTTGAGGCTTTAATTGTAATAAAATAGAAGTTCTATTTTCTGTAACCATTTTTTTCCCCTTGCAATAAAATAGAGAAGTTCTATTTTTATTTATTGTGTTTATCAATTTTGAATTTTATTTGTTCTTATATTTCTTTGTAATGGCTTTTTTGGAGAATTGGCTATTATACTAACAGCTATTCATGGTGAAATTGCATGGAAATTAAATTCTAGAATGTATTATTTCTTTCTAGATGTTCATGATTGGATGATTTTTTTTTATTACACTATAGAATGAAATGAAAGTAAAAGATATCTTATCAAGTATAGTGGTCATATAAAAGGTTTTAAAAAAAAATGCGAAAAAGGTGGTGAGAGAGCATATGTTTGTTCAAGTACACAACTTCAATGAATTTTGTGCAGCTACTACATTTGTGTTGTCACAATGGCTGCTGCTGCTGCATTTTTTGTATTCTTGATAAATTTTATTCATGTTCAACAGATATAGTCTCTTTGGAGGCTTAAATGATGGTGAATAGATATATTGGAAGACCAAAACAAGCCTAAAACTGTTGAAAAATAGCTCTAGAACAAGTCCAACAGCAACATAAAAAAATTGAATTTACAATGACAACATATACCTGTGACAACATATATCCACAATCCATGAGAACACGACATTCAATTCATGACACTATTGAAAAGATAACATATATACTTGATCCATCATGTCTAGTACATCCATAAGTAAATCCATAAGTACATCCATAATTACATACATAAAATTCCCCAAAACCTAAATGTTTAACTAATTTACATTATAAAGTACAAAATGACGAAGAATACAATCACATAAATCATCGCCTTGAAATTCTTTTCCATCCTTCGAAGCCTTCTACCATGGTCATGAATTTCAGTGTCCATCTCCGAAAGCCTTGTCCTTACATCATTGAATTCCTCTGTCCTTACAGCTTTACGAAGTACAGTAATGGAACGGATTGTGGAGGTAACGTCCTCATCATCATCGTTTGCGAACTTGAAGTAAAATATATATATATATAATGTCCTGCAAAAAAAAAAAGTGCAGAATAAATAGATTCGTAGCCTATTACAAGATTGTAAGAATCCAGACGTGAATTGATTGATTACAATGAAAATTATAGAAATATAGAATGAAAAATCAATAAATGAATTGGAATGGTGGATCAAAACATATAAATGATGAAAAATCAATAAATGAATTGAAATGTAGTGGTAATTTTGATTATCAAAAGGTAGTGATTTAGTTATGAGACTTTACTGTGTAATTTGCACGTGATATATTATGTGTATTGTAGCATTACTGGAAAATCTAACATAATTTATAATCTAAAGGCCGATGAATTTACAGACTTCGAAAATATAATAAAAATAAACCAAAACCATTTGGACATTTTTCCATAAAAATACGAAGCTTGTGTTTATGAGGAATTGCTTGCATGCTGTTACCTTAGTGTCTATGCAAAGATCTTCCAAATATTTATCAAAACAAATTCCAAATAAATAATATAAATTAAACAAAGAATACAAAGTAGGAAGTAATGTTTTCAATGAATAGAGATGTCACATGACCAACAACGTTGATCATCATCATTGAACCAAAAAAAAAAAAAAAACTTATCTTTTACTTTTAACTAATCCAAAGAACTATCAAAAGCACCTTCAAAGAACTTATCTTGGGTTTGTGGGTTTTCTGGATTTTAACTACAAACATAAAAAGATCAAAAAAAAAAAAAAAACATATGGGTGTGATTGCAACTTATGCATATAAATCCAGCAATTCATTGTTTACCTATTATTCTGTTCATCTAATTCGATGAGCCTGTTAATTTGCATAAACAGATGCAGAGACTCACATCTGGTGTAGTGTAATAGACCCTACTCCTTGATTGGTGTAGTGTTTTCCCTAAAATAGTGTTTGAAATTCCTTTTTCTTAAATCCCTATGTTAACTTTTCATATCTTCCATAATCTCAAATGTGCTTGCTTGCTGTTAGTCAATGGAACTCTCCAAAGAAGTCATATGCATAAAAGGGAATTGCTTGCATGAGTTTCATATATACTTGCTTGATGACAAGGTGTGAAGCATGAATCAGTGTGAATAATGAATCAGTGCTAAATAGTCAATGGAACTCTCCAAAGAAAAGGATGAGAAATTTTTATCTTCTTCTATGAATAATGAATCAGTGCTAAAGTACTTTCAGTGGACAACAAAAACCATATATATCTCATCTTTACAACTTGCTATTATAATTTTTTAGGACATGGAAAAATTATTCTATATTCTTGGAATAATATTCAGTGTCTTTACAGCTTGCTGTTGTCATGTTTGATTATACTTTCAGACATTGTATCAAATGGACTGCCCAAAACTTAGACAACAACAGGTAAAAAACTTGTATCAAACACTGCCCAGACATTGTATCAAATGGATTGCCTATAAAAAAATTTACCTGTTCAGCACTGCCCAGACATTGTATCAAATGGACAGTGTTGAAAATTTTATTCATGTTCAACATAAAATTTCACTAGCAAACTAATATATAGCAGCGAAAATCATCAAATTTTTCATTCAAACAGCAGAACATATATACATACAATACATCAGTGAGTTAGGCAAAAGGGAAACACACAAAACCCCAATTTCTTGAATCAAGCAAAAGGGAAAAACATGAAACCCCAATTTCTTGAATCTTCAAACCCTAGTTTTGTGATGTCGAGTTTACCTGAGATTCGTTTTCAATTGGTCGGTAATCCAACGTATTACAAGTTTCTGGCACTGAGAGGAGTCAGATCAATGTAGTCGAATGAGAGGAGCATCAGATGAGAGGAGTATCCCGCTGACCACCAACTCGGAGGAGAATAACGAGAGTATGAGAACTTTCCAATGTGAAGTCAGATGAGGTAGTCGAATGGAGTCGGATGTCCGCGTCGGAGAGGTAGTCGGATGAGGAAGCGATGACAAGGTTTCAGGTGAAGAGGAGAGGAGTGAGGGGATGAGAGCGATAGGGCTTTAGGTAGAGAATGAGAAAGTTTGAGCTCAAACTTTGGGTCTGAAGGACAAAGAAAGAGAAGTAGCGCGTGACTTCAAAGTTTCGAGCCATTTCGAGCCAAAATATTCGAGCTCTAAATCATTTTCCATAAAGAATATATATTTACTTACTTTTTTAAAGTTTATCAAAGAAGGACATTAGCCGCACAAAAAAAAAAAGAAAAAGAAAAAAGTCTTCCTAAATGTAAGTTACAAAAGCGTTCTAAAAAAATTAAAAATGTTACCAAACAATACGATCTACTTTAACCATCACAAAACTCAAAAATTGAAATTTGCTATAACTTAAAAATAAAATGACATCACCTAATATAGTATATAGTACTGTGAATAGACTTTTTTTTTTTACTTAGGCCTCGTTTGAGAACATGCTAATTTAGTAATTTTTTGGCTATTTGGTTAAAATATGAGCTAAAAAAAACTAGTACGTTTGGGATGATTTTTTGACTTTTACGAAAATATGTGCAAAAAGTAGAGAGAAAAGAGAATCTTTGACTTTTTGGTATGGGTTGTTGGCTTTTTGACTAATTTAGTAACTTTTTGATTTTTTAACTGAAAAAGAGGGTTCCCAAACGAGGCCTTAGAGTGTTTTTAGAACTTTAAGGTTTCAGACTACAAAATTTTTAAAAACAAAAATGCTTTCGAAAACTAAAAGTTCACCACTAAATCGGCACTAATGACGTGGCTGCCAACGTGATAATGCGATGCAAACTCGCCCGTTTCTCTCTCTTCTCATTCATTTCAAATTTCAAATTCATTTTGACAATACATTTGAGACTCTCTCTCTCTCCCTATTCTGAACTTCTCTTCTCTGAACTTCTCCTCTGTTGTTTCTCTCTCTTGATAATCGCATCTCTCCAACACCGGCGACCCCAACAAGCTCTCCAACCCGGTGACGATCGAGGTTAAACGCATCTTCTACAACCCCGGCGACCCGACGAGCGCAGCTTCTCTCCGTCATCATCTTTCACTCACGACGAGCGCAGCTTCTCTCCGTCTTCTCGACAGATCTGTCTGCACAGGTCAGTTCTCTCTCTCTCTATCTCTCTATATATATACCTATATATATGCCCTGATTTGTTGAGATTTTTGTGCCTTTGACTTTGATTTCATCTGTTTATGAGGATTTGGATTTGGATTTTGATTTTGATTTTGATTTTGATTTGATTTGCCCTAATTTTACATACATTGGATTTCCCTAAAAAATCTATATATATATGGTGGAGAATATATAAAAATGCTGAATCAAGCGCTTGATTTAGTTAGGAATTCTCTTTTGGGAAAATGGAAATATTTTAAATATTGCCCCAGAAATGTGTTTAGTTAGGAATTTTAAATTTTAAATATTGATTTAGTTAGGAATTTTTCACTCTTAAATGGTTTTATATTCCTCCAGAAATGTGAGATTGCCATAGGAGTATGGGGAACAGATTTTTGATTAGTTTGGAGAGTTATTTCAGCTTGAGTAGGTAATCAGGAATTGTCTTCCCATTCCAATCCATTCCAAAAAGTGGAAATTCCACTTTTTGGCTTAAGACTAGTACATAATTTGTGAATCAAAGAGAAGACACAAACCCACTAGGAGAAGTTCAGAGAAGAGAAATTATAAGTTATGCACTTATTTTCGTTATGCACTGAGTTAGTTCGTGAATTCACTAAGTTCACTTATTTTGGTTTGTTAGTTAGTTCCTGAATTCACTGAGTTCACTTATTCACTGAGTTCACAAAATTTCTAGACTTAATTTTGTGAAGTTATTAATTTTTCTAGTTCAGAGAAGAGAAGAGAAATTATAGGTTATGCACTGAGTTATAATTTTGCTAGACTTATAATTTCTGCTAGCAAAATTTGTGGACACTGAGTTATTTTGTATTTGGTTATTGACTTGTACCCTTTGATGCTCTGGCTCATATAACTGGGTTCAATCCCTACATTCTCTTTCCTTAAACTAGGCTAGAGTATGAATTAATTTTTATTAAAAAAGAAAAAGATGAACAGATATAAAAGAATTGAATCATTACCCAA